GTGGTAGTAGTGGTAGTAGTGGTTGTCGAACAGTTGCCGTGCTTTTCGCATTGTTTAGACACCTCCTTTCGTGTTGTTATTCTCATTGGCTACAAGATGGCTGGTACAGTGCGGTTTTTCTCTCTCACTCTGGGCCAGGCTCACACACAAAGCACTCGCTTGCAAATGGCACTGGACGAGCATACTGGCCACATCGGTCGGAGCCTCGGGCAAAACCCTGAAACGCTGGCACCCAAAACCCTAAGCCCAAAACCCGAATTCCTAAGCCCTGCACCCGAAACCTCAAACCCAAAACCCTGAAACCCAACACTCCAAACCCCGAAAGCATGCAGGGGCTCAGGCGGGCTTTGCTGCGCGAGTCCCTCGTAGAAATTTTGGCTTCAGTTCCTGAGTGAAAAGCTATAGTAGTATCTTAACTTTCAGTAGATTGTACTAGTAGTTTGCAATAACATGTTATCGCAACTTCCAGTACATTATCGAAAGTCCTAGTATCTTATCGTAGGTTTCAGCATATGGTCGTATATATATATATATATACATTATATAGATATATATACATATATATATATATATACATATATATATATATATATATACATATATATATATATACATATACCTATATACATATATACGTGTATATATATATATACACGTATATAGGACGCTGTTCTTCCTCTCAGGAGCCTTGGAGAAGGAGACCCAGAAGTTGGAGAGGCAGTATGAGATCGAACGCGTTCGCCTCAGTTGCCCTGGGGTTAAACTGTTGGAGTTTCCGAAAAATTGGGGTCCCTTTTTAGGTCCCCATTATAGTACGGCACCTAAAAGAAAGGACCCCAAAAAGGACCCTACTTTAGAGAACTACCCCTTTAATGGGAGTTTCCGAAAATTGGGGCGGGTAGCTTATTTTGGGGGTCCTTGTAATAAGGACCCTCTATTTCGGGTACTATATTAGGGTCACCTGTTTCCGGACACCCCCTTTTTCGGGCCTTGACAAGTAGAACACGGCTTTCTTGGGGGTACCTATAGGGTCATACCCTACCCCTTTTTGAGGGTACCTAGTTTTTTTGTATAACAGACCCTAACCATCAAACTAGGTGCCTTCAAAAAGAGATAGGGTATGACCCTTTAGGTATGTCATAGCATAGCTACAAAAGGAGCTTGCAACCAAGGAATAGAACAGAGTGCGGAGCAGCACGGAGGGCCGCGGGGTTTGGGGAAAGTACCTTGCAAGTAGTCATCTCCGCGTTGGAGACGCATGCTATGATGACGGACCTACCGTGTGTCGTGTTTTTTTTGTTATCGCTCCTTCTTCTCGATTGGGTTGTTTGCGGCTCTTGTCATTGTACATCTTAGTCTTAATGGTCGCGAAGAGGGCTCGAGGCTTCTACTCCGATTGTCGGGTTGACTCGCCTCACGAGTGGGGCTTCAGGCTCGCGCACATCAAATTGCATCATTGCCCTGGAGAAGGCAAGGGACTCCACTAACCCAGTGCATGCTGTCGCGAGCATTTCAAGTAGTGGTCATGGTGGTAGTGCTGTTGGTGGCAGTCGTTCTGAAGCCGTAGTCGTCGTCGGTACCGACAACGTCAGTTCCGTCGCCGGTGAAGCTGCTTCTCGTCGTAGCCGCGTGTCTTTCACGACACTGCGTCAGAATCTTGCCAATGCAGGAGTTGGCAACCAAGACGAATGCTGCAGAAAGCGATGCGACCAACGCCCGTCTCTCTACCGCTACGGCTGCCATCCAGAGGCAGATGCATGTTCGCAGAGTGATCTGCCTGCGCTTCCGTACAGTCTTCAGTGGTGGTCATCCAGACCATAACTGCAAACTGTTCTTGCTAGTATCCGTGTCACGACGATCGCTGCCACCATTCTTAGTTCTGATATTCATCTCTCAGTTCTTCCAGCAACCCATAGCAACCCTAAACCCTAAACCGTCTAGTCTCGATACTCCTGGTCTGGAGGTTGGAGACGATGGCAACCACCAAGGTGTCCTCTGATACCTTCGAAAAGTTGCAGGCGGCATGGCAGCCAGAAGACGAGTCGTGAGTAGCGAGTCTCTGCAGTAGTAGTTAGGACCGGGTGCCTGCTTGCAGAGAGGCCTCTAGATCTCGGCAGCTTCTGCATTGACAGTCTGCCAGGGGCGCCTGGATCAGATGGAGGTGGAACTGACATTGGCATCCCAAAGTGTGAAAGTGCCTATATCCAGATCTTCTACTGTGGAACTTGAGACGCGTGCTACCGCATCCGTGTTCGAAGTGCTTCATTTGTTAGACATCTCCTGCCCCGCCACGTGAAGTCATTGCCACTGCATTGTGTGTGTGTGTGCTCTTGGGGTCTTGGGGTAGGCTCCTAGAGATTGTGAAGTTTTGCTTATTGGGTCTCACTGATGCGAACACCTCCCCTACATGCACAGACATGTGTGAATGCATGTGCATACCTTTGTATGTACATATGTACCTGTATATACAGACTGTTTTGCAGATTTAACGAGACTAGATGTGCCGCCTACGCTTGGTCCCTTCGCTGGACCGGGGCATCAGACTGTCGTGCTTTGAGCTGCTGCCGGCAAGTGAGCAGAGATAGAGAGATGTATGTGCATATATATATATACACACATGTATGTGTTTGGATTTATGTGTGTATATATATATATATATACACACATACGTTTATATGTTTCAATGGGTAGTTAGAGAGACAGGTAGAAGGACACATCGATACACGGATAGGTAGAAACGGAGTGCTGCATTGAGTTGTGATATTGAATGTCACTTGTTGCCCTGCAGTTTAAGACTTCTCGTTTCGTTTGTCATGCCTTCAGTTCTGTTCAAACCGCGCGAAAGTGCACCATCGAACCTTATACTAGACTCACTAGACTAGACCATGTCGTGTCTTCGCATGTTTGTCCCGTTAAGTTGCCGTTAAGAACGGTGCCAGTCGTAGCTGAGGTCTTACATCGATTCATCCCGTACTCTGTTGCATCATACCCTTCGATGTCTGTATGCTCTTTTGAACGGGCTACTTTGCTGAGTGCATCTTTCTGACCCGGAAGCCTCACACCCCGTTGCTTCGATGCAGGTGACGCTAATCCGCAAAGCTGACACCGAGACCTTGGGCAAGGCAGCACAGCAGGTCACCGAGCAGGCTGGGCAGGGTTCTGGGGTCTACTGAGGGTTTAGGGTTTAGGGTTTAGGGTTTAGGGTCTACTGGTTGCAGGTGGGAGTTTCCGAAAATAAAGGCCCCTTATTTGGGGGGTCCTTAACAAGGATCCTACTATTTGGGGTACTATATTAGGGTCCCCTATTTTCGGAAACCCCCAGGTGTGTTGAGTGTCACACATGAATAAAATCAAGAAGAAGCTCAATGAATGAGTAGATTCGGGTAGATTGAAAGGATGGGCAGGTAGCTAGCTAGCTGGAAAAAGGACGCTACACCCTATAAGCCCTAAGCCCCATAGGCCTAGACCCGAAACCCCTAAACCCTATCTCCGAAACCCGAAACCCCTAAATCCTAACCCGAAACCCTTGAAGCCTAGACCCAAAACTCCTAAACCCTATATCCTGAACCCCTTAGCCCTAAACCCCTAACCCTGAACCCCTGCAGTCCCCATCCGATGAGGCTCGCCAGTTGGAGTCTGTTGCCAGCCATGTGCGCGACCAGGGGAGCAAGCTGGAGGCTGCGGCGTGAAGTTTTGGGGGAGGGTAATCTAGGGGCCTTAATAATCAGAATAGGGTTTTGGGGGCCCAATATACTACAATTATAATAAGGAGCCCCCCTAAAATAGTGTGTGTATATATATATATATAATATAATATAAGTATATAATATAATCTAATCTAATCTAATCTAATCTAATCTAATCTAATCTAATCTAATCTAATCTAATCTAATCTAATCTAATCTAATCTAATCTAATCTAATCTAATCTAATCTAATAATATAATATAATATTATATAACATAATATAATAAAATATAAAATAATATAATATTATATAATATAATATAATATAATATTATATAATATAATATATTATAATATAATCTAATCTAATATAATATAATATAATATACTATAGTATAATATAATATAATATAATATATATAGAGGTCATCCTTCAGGCCCTACATTAGTAGGCAGGAGCTTCGGGGCACCCCCTGAGCGCGACAGCCCAAACCCGGACCGTCTAAACTGGGCGCGTCGAGGGTTTAGGGTTTAGGGTCTAGGGTTTAGGGACTACTTTGAGGCCCAGGGGACTTAGAAAGTCGGTTATAAGTAGGGTTCTACTTGGGGTAATTCCATTTAGGGCACTTATAACTATACTTATAACCTAGTTACTAAGTCCCCTGAACCTCCAAGTAATTGCAGTTCTACGGCAAGGAAACCAGAGCCATAGCATCGCGGAAAGACTACACAAACCTCCAAGACCCGCAAGAGCCCGCAACAACCCACCAGGAAAGGAGAACCCCATGAACGCCCCAGCCAAGAAAACGTGAGACCCCATAACACCCGCCCCAGCCAGAACCAAAAGGACCTTGTAAACCTCAAGCCCTAAAACACCCTGAGCCCTGAACCTGAAAGCTTCCACCCTAAAGCCCTAATGGCCTACACCCTGAAACCCTAAACCCTCCACCCTCAACCCTCAACCCTAAAGCCCTAAACCTTAAAACCCTAAACCCCTAAACCCTAAACCCTCAATCCCTAAAGCTCTAAATCCGTAGTCGTTAAACACCCCTAAACCTTAAGAACCAAATAGGCCAAAAAGCAGATCCCAGCCGGCTGGAGGTGCTGGAAGGCCGCTCTGAGACCTTGAAGGAACAGATCCTGCAGAAAGCCGAGTCGAGCAATGCGCCTTGGATGGATTGGCTTTGGGGTTTTTTCAGGGTTTAGGGTAGAGTTTGGGGTTTTGGGGGCTTTGAGGGTTTAGGGTCTGGGGGCTGAGGGTTTAGGGTTTAGTAGGGTTTTGGTTGTTGTTCGGGTTTCGGGTTCTTCGGGGCTTGAAAGGGTCTAGTGGTTTATGGGAGTTTCATAGGGTTATGTGGGTTCTGGGCTCTAGGGTTTGGGGTTGTCAGTGCACAGGGTTTGAGATTGTGGCAAGCCCCAAAACACCCCAAGACCTGAATCAGCACAGCTGCAGGATTAACCCCTAAGCCCTGCTCCCTAAACCTGAAATCCTAAACCCTAAACCTTAAACCCACAGCCTTAAACCCCCTAAACCCTAAGCCCTAAGCAGGATAAGTTTATGAAGACGTGGCTGTGAGAGCAGTTCTACCTCGGCGCAGCTCACGCAGAAGCCCACAGCTCTGAACATATCGGCATCCGAATACAAACATCATTCCTTAGAATTTATTGGTTTGGGGTTTAGGGTTTGTTAGGATTGCTTCAAATATCATATAGTTTTACTTTAAGAAGTTTCGAAAGCCCTTCTTCAAGCTCCTGAAGTAACTTTCATTCACCCGCCTGTCGTGAGGTGTACACCGTTGATGGAGTGGATGGAATGCTCCGTTCCTACTACAGCCGACGGCTTGGTAATTTTTGCAATGAGCTCGGAACACGTTTTAGGGTTTAGGGTTTAGGGATGCTGAGTTCTGGGTTTTGAGGGGATTGGGTCAGGGGTTGGTGTTTCAACGCTTCGAAAGATTAAACCTGCCTTTCAGCCATGAACCTCACCCGGAAGACTCGCCCAAGACTGGTAAGTCAAGCTTCCCCGTCTCAGATCGCGAAGAGATGGATGCATTGCTGCCAGCGTCTGAGATTGAGGGTGCACCAATTCTCCTAAACCCTAAACCCCTAAACCCTAAACCCTAAACCCCTAAACCCCTAAACCCTAAACCCTAAACCCTAAACCCCTAAAACCTAAACCCTTAAGAATCTTCAGCAGATCCATGATCGACTGCCTTCAACCTTTTTGCTGTCTTTACGCTTCTTCGGCCTCTGAGCTTTCTTTGCACGTTGCGGTGACCTAAACCCTAAACCCTAAACCCTATAAACCCTATAAACCCTATAAACCCTATAAACCCTAAAAGCCCTATAAACCCTATAAACCCTGTAAACCCTATGGCCCTATAAACCTACCCTATAAACCCCAACCCTATAAACCCTATAAGCCCTATAAGCCCTATAACCCTAAACCCTGTAAGCCCTAAACCCTAAGCTGAGCTGGGAAGCTCGAGGTCGCGCGTTTGGTGGCGCCTTGGAGATGTCGCGAAAGCACCGGTCTCTACTCCGAAGCCACCGACCAGGCTGCCTGGACTTGGCCTTAAGTTAGGCTCGAATCCCGACCACCCCAAAGCAAAGAAGCCCTGAAACCCTGAAACCCTTTTGGGTTTAGGGTATTAGTATTTAAGGGTTTGGGAGTTTAGGGTTTAAGGGCTTAGGGGTTTAGGGTTTAGGGTATTAAGGTTGAAGGGTTTAGGGGTTTAGGGTTTAGGGTATTAAGGTTTCAGGCTTAGGGTTTAGGGGTAAACCCTGAACTCTAGACCCTGAAAATCCTGAAACCCTGAACCCCCCACTCCTGAACCGCCCAAGTGCCCCGAGATCCTGAACCTGGAGGTGAACATGGGGGAGTGGGCTGGAGGCCTCCGCGCCGCGGCTACGATCTAATATAGGGGCCTGAATACTTGGAATAGGGTTTTGAGGTATAGTATATGTAAAGTAAATATGTGCGGGACTGCAAGGGTAAGATATCCACGCTGACAGCAAAACCACTACGAGCCGAAACTAAACTGCTATCTGATGTCCTTGCAAAACTGATGGGGGACCTCCTGACCGGTTTAGCGTTTAGGGTTCAGGGTTTAGAGCTGACGAGGTCTTAGCGTATCCCGCAACCGATAGGGCCCGACCCTAAGGCTCACGCTCTATACGTGGAACACGAACTTTCGACTGCTACTGGCATGTATCCGCAGACGTCTCGCTCTTCTCAATAGGATCTTGGTTGCTCTTCTTCCTACAAGTATGCTGCAGTTAAGTACCGCAGTTGTGGCAATCAGCGCTTCAGGGAATGTTAGTCACAGGACATTCTTATCACTCTACTACTACGATAGTAACTGCCACTGCCATTCCTCCTCCTTCTCCTCTACTACTACCACCACGACGACGACTACTATTACTGCTGCTGCTGCTGCCGCTACGACTACTACTACGCGCATGGGTACTACTACTGCTACTGCTACTGCTACTACTACTACTACTACTACTACTACTACTACTACCGGCGAACAGTAATCACAGTATGTATGCCGACAATACTGCTTGTGTCAAGAAACATGATGGAACACGGCACATACTGAATGCATTGGCAGCGAACGTCAAGTGTGACGAGTGTATCAAGAGTCTCCACCAACGACCTTAAGGGCTTTAGTGAGGCTTTGGTTTGAGGTTTAGGGTTTAGGGGAGGCATGGCCATGTTTAAGTTTACGGCGTTCTTAAGCATCACTTGAGATGGCGACTGGGACCACTTCTAGATTCTAAGCCCCCCCCCCCGCCCTAGCAACGATGGCCATTGTTCAGTCGCAAGCCGGAGCCACAACAGTATCCTCTGTGAACCCTTTTTGCGAGCTGGGAGCAGATCGCAGGCACCAAATTCCGAAGCTTGTCTGCGGCCAAGGTAGCACGGCTGCGCACGAGGGCACTTCGCAAGTCAACACACGAGATGTTGACTGGTCCTGGCATTCCAACAGGGAGCCAGGTCCATATCATCCCTGCCATGTCTGTGGCCTGCTCCTTTACAGCGGCATGTAACGAAGCTCCTGCATCCCCTAAACCCAAAACCATATAAACACGAGCGGTTTTGAAGAGTCATGGGTGCTCCCATGTCGCGGGCACGGGGGGCTGGGAGGCGAGCTAGGAGACTTGTCGCAGGAACTCCCGAACTCAAAGTGCCAAGCCGCAGACTGGGGCTTTCTATCCGCATGTGAACATGATCATATTCGGGTAGTGACAAATGCTGAACATAGTATGTGGTGTATTATTTGTAATGTGAATTATGTAGTGTATAATATAATGTACAACTTATGCAGTGTGTATTAAAGGATAATCAAAGGTGCCCGACCATGCCACGGGAGAGTCTACGCCTGACCCAAGGGACCTCGAATCGAACCAGGGCCTTTCAGCTCAAGAGAAAGAAGCTTACTATAGTGGCTTTAGTAGTTAGAATGGGGTTCCTTTAAAGGGCTCCTTTAAAGGTTTCTATATGGGCGACTATAAGGGTTCTATAAGATAGGGGCCTCAGTAATTGGAATGGGGTTTTGGGGTATATTATAATGTAATTATCATAAGGAAGCCCGAAAAACCCCTATTCTAATTACTAAGGCCCCAACATTAAGCCATCCTCCCCCAAGTGCTTCCGACCAGAGATCACCCTACCTTCAAAAGCCATAGCCTATGTTTTGGTAGGCTCGTATGATAAACTCCAACATGGACTTTATAGCTACCCTGCAAAAAAGTAGGTTTTGGTTGGTAAAGGTAGCAGCCGAAAGCATTCTTCTTCAGGAGTAGAAGTTTCGGCATATGGGTAGTTCTCTAAATTAGGGTCCCTTTTCAGCTCCCCAAATATGGTGCGGCACCTTTTATAAAAAGGACCCTAGAAAGGGAACTACCCATATAGTACCCTATAGAAACCCTTATTATGGTTATAGTAGAATATACCCCAAAACCCTATTCTAATCATTAAGGTCCCAGGGTTTTGCGGGTTCCTTTTTATGATTATAGTATACTATACCCCAAAACCCTATTCTGATTATTCAGGCCCCTATATTATCCCAGCCCACCCTAAACCCTAAACCCTAAACCCTATTCTGATTATTAAGGGCCCTATATTCTCCCAGCCCTCAGCAGTTTGACCAGCAGTCTCACCCGGTCTGCTGGAACGCCGCCTTCGACGAGGCCCCCGGTTTAGGGTTTAGGGTT